CTCCCGGTGCATCCAGTCGCGCCCCACAACATTGCAACACATGGTTGTTGTTCCCCATAAGAGCGAAACAGCTGACGGGGTCATATTCTCAATAAAAAAAAGAAGAAGAAAAAAAAGAAAAGCAAAAGTGACATTTTACAGCTAGCCATAATAAGAAAAAAAAAAAAAATTGATAAATGAACTGGCGTTGAATTCTCCCTCTTGTGGTGCAACAAACACAAATACAGGTGGGTGAGGGAAACCATCATGGAAGGTGTACCTCTCACCCCATCAGGAGCCTCCACTTTGAGCCATCAGAAACGTATGAAACTTCTCCGATAAGTTTTTGTACTTGTCCATTTTTTTTCTCTGGAATATTTCTTTGAGTTTCATTTCTTGCGCGGCTCCCCTTTTCAAGAAGATCCTCGCCAGGCAGACATCCTCCTTCTTTACCTTCTTGTCGTCCAGGAAGACCAGGTTGGGGATGTCTGCACAGAGCGATGTGCGTGGAGGGAAGTACATGGAGTGATGTGCGTGGAGTGATGTGCTTGGGGTGACGCACGTGCAACAGGCCACTGTGCGCACCATGTGCAATGCACACGCCTCACACACACTTTGCACACGTGTCACGTCCACACAGCATGCGGGACTTACTGGCAACCAGATACCTAGAGGCGTGCCTGATTTTGCTAACGAATGGGTTGTTTTTAACGAAGAGAGTTCTTAACTTCCCCATATGTCTTAAAAGAATGATCAGTTGGCACAGAAATGTAATCTTCTTTCGTGTCAGTTGGTCCATTGGCTGCACATTTTGGTAATACTTGACATGTTGGGAGGGTTCCTTTTCGCACCCGTCCTCTGGGGAGTCCTCACGGAGGTGTAGAAATTCATCCAGGGGGGGGGCTTCATCAGGGGGGGTGTCACCATCAAGGGTGGTGTCTCCATCAGGGGGGGTGTCTCCATCAGGGGGGGTGTCTCCATCAGGGGGGGTGTCACCATCAAGGGTGGTGTCTCCATCAGGGGGGGTGCTTCCATAAAGGGGACCGACTTTGCCAAACGTGGCACCATCGTCAAGTCGCATTGCCTGCTTGTCCTCGGCCCCCAAATGGTGAAGGCCACGAGAAGAGCCCCTCTCCACGTGGTGCAAAAACTCCTTCAGTTTATCAGCGTCTATCCCATCGTGGAAGTTCAAGTGATTGTCTGAGAGGTCCAGGTGGGAGAGGTTCTGGAGTTTCGCAACTTCGGCGATGTCCTGAGAGGGGGGGAAGTAAGACGACGCTGCCATGGGGGAGACGCTTTCTCCGCGCTGCCATGTGGACGATGCTTTCTCCGCGCTGCAATGTGGACGATGCTCCCTCCACACCTCCACCTGCAAGGCACTTTCTTCCCCACCTCGATCGTTTCGATAAGGTTGTGGGACACGTTGAGAGTTTGGAGCCCCTTGAGGTGGCCCAGATTCCCAAGTCTCCTAATTCTGTTGTTGGCTAAGTTTAGAATGACCAGGGATGTGCACTCTATGTTTTCGATGCAGCTGATGTCGTTGTTTTGGAGGTACCTGAAGTGGGGGAGGGGAAGACGTCACGGTAAGGGTACCTCCTGCGGAGGAGCAGTACGGTTTTTTTTTTGTATCTCCTTTGTAGCTTCTTTGCAGCTCGTTCGTAGCTGCACGGATACTTGCCCTTCTTACAGGGCCCGCAGGTTGCCGAGTCCGCCCAGGTTGGTAATCTCCTTTATGCAGTTGTTATTGAGGAAGAGGCACTTGAGGTTGGCGAAGGATTCGAGACCGCCGATGTTGTGGAAGCCCTTCATGTGCAGGTAGAGGACTTCGTTCAGCTCGTCCGTTTCGTACAGGTTGCTTTCTGGGAGGGGGGGAGGAAACGGCAATTTGGGGGAAGCGAGGAAGTTCGGAAGAGTGGCAGCACGGCAACGCACGTGTAGCGTGGCTTTCCGCCGCTTCCCCACTCTACAGCTGCCAGAGAGAACCCACCTCTGCAGATTTTCTTGACCTCCTCGTAGGTCATCACCTTTTGTGCCCCAGCCGCGCCTCCCTCGACTTCCTCCATCTGGTCACCGTAAGGAGACGCGCTCGAACGTGTGTGTGTGTATAAGCGGTGAGGAACTGCCCCCTCCCCCGCGGGGATGGCAGCCCAAATGAGGGTAACACCCCAGGAGAGAACGCGCAGATGCGGACGCACAGTG